CCCCAAAACCCCAAAACCCCAAAACCCCAAAACCCCATGAGGCTTTATTTTCATTTTATTTGTAGAAATGAAAATAAAATAATATAGAGAATAAAAATGAGTGCATACAGCTCTCCATAGAAATTGAGTATGGCTCCTCTGCAGAAGGCCATGACTAATCCACGGTCGCACAAGTAATATTAAAAGTAATTACATATTTTTGTCTAGACCTTTTAAAAGATTCAAGGATCCGATGTCAGCAAATAGTGGCATGAACCCTCATGGAGGTCTTATTGAATTCATAAAAAAAGATCCCACTACAAATATTGATGTTCACAGAGATCAGAGACCTTCACCTCCTGATATCTCTCATATGTCGACGAAATGGGCAGTTGGAACATAGAAGAGAACCTATTCCAAAGTAAATGAATAAGGCATAATTGATAGATCATCATTCGAATATAAGACTTTTCCCAGAAATCCAACTGATAACATCAGTTTTGATCCTCCTGCAAATGATCGTCCATTCCAAAAAGTTTATGATGAAATGATAACAAAATCTAAGTATAACATTAATGTCCCTAGCTCAAAACCTTGGATCCCGCCAACTCACGAAGGCAAGACTATTAACAATAGAAGCAGTGTGCCACACAATATTATCAGTCACGAGGCTAATTCACATTCGTCAGTGCTGGTGCTTGGACTCTTAGATAAAAGAGTTGCAAATATGAAAAAAGGCATAGGTTAATACACTGACTTGAATAGGCTAACTGCAGTTAACTCTAATGTTGATCATGTTAATTCATACGTTGACAACCCCCATATATTTAAAAGAAAAGTGGGTGTGTTTACTCATTTATATGATGCTGCTCATAGATTTGGAGAAGATAAGCCCTTCAAACACTGATTATTAGATGATTAAGAATGAAAGAATCTTTATTTATTTTAAGTTTAAAATACATCATATTCTTAAATTTTCTTAAAATTTACATCATTATTATCTATATCATGCTATTTCAATAATCATTCCTTCTTTATCTGAGTTATATTTTTTTCTCATTCAATCGACTGTCTCTTGAGTTTATCTTGACTGAAAGATTGTCCTATTCTATAAGGACTTTGGGAGACTCTGAAATTTTTTTAAGTGGATCTCATATCTAGTTTAGCCTACCAGGTTTAAAGATGATGCTTAATAGGCTATAATTTGAGATTCAGCATGCCTTCCTAGATTTCCTTGACCTGAGCAGTCATACAATTCTCCTCAATTTTAGAGTAGTAATTTTTCATTAGCTCATGATCCTACCTTAATTTGTCCTTGTTAGCATTGATTCTCTGCTGCTTCATAGTAATTTTGTCCCTCAATTCCAAAACTCTATTCATGTTTTTAAGTTATTCTCTTTATCGCTTGAGCTCTGCATCTTTTTACTTTTCAAGCAACTTCTCCTAGGTCTGTAGACGATCTTACGCTTCCTTTTCTCTTATCTTTTAAAGACTTCTATTATGATCCTCTGGATGTCTCATTTTAGATTTTCTGATCGGTGTAATTTATTCTCTAAACCCATGAGTAGTTGCTAGCAATGGACTGTGCTAACTAGAATCCTGAGTTGCTAAATAGTTGCTTTATGTATTAATAGTATTCTTGTAGTTCTTGATTTCCTCTTTAATCTCTTCTGTTAGATCGATACTTGATCTAGTGTTAGTGTTATTCGATAAAAGCTTTTTTGACTTTAGATTAAATTTCTTTTCAATTTGTACTTTCTTTTTAAATGTCTCCTAATTCCTATTTATTGATTATAATGCAATTGACTTTACTTATGATCGATTTGCTCCTTGTAAAATCTCTCTTTAAAAGTTTTAATCTTTTAATCAGTAGTGTTATCCAGTATAGCCTCCAATGCATCTTGATCAAATATTGTGATTAGATCTCTGTATCTCATGTCAGTTATGAAGTAATGAGGATCATCTTAAATCTACATACTGGTATTAATAGATTCTACTTACCATTTGAAGTTCATGCTCGGAGAAATAAGTAACAAGAACTTGATTAGGCGTTTCAATTGTAGCTTTTTAAGTCTCTATATCCACTAATCCCGGTACAACATGCAACTATTCTGGATTTCCTACATAGATTGTCAGAAAGTTAAATTCTTACTGTTGACAAATGTTCTTTCTTAATGAGCCATAACACTTCTTTCTTGTCTATTATATTTATTTTAGTATATTTTTATCCTTTCATATTTATTAAGATAATTCTAGCAGAGAATAGGAGTCTTAGAATTAAGTTGATTTTATATCTTAGCTCTGAGTATTCTCTTTTATACCATTTCCTTCTAATGTTCATAGTTATCTTACTTAGCTTTTTGATACTCTTCGAGAGTCATTTACGCCTTAGACATCTTTTTATTTAGATTTTTTTCTCTATCTTTTTATTACTTAATCAGTTGTTGATTGTACTTCTCCAATCGTATCTTACTTAGATTAGCTTTGTTCTCAAATTGATTAAAGTTCTTCTTCTTTTCAAGTTAAGTCTGAGAAGCCCTTATTCTATGATCCTCAATTTGCTGATCCATTTAATTAAGTACGGCTGTTTACATAAATGGCTTGAGATTCTTATACATCCAAGACTTGTTTTAGGTTTTGTAAAGATGGTCAAATATTTAATTAACTTTTGTCTCGTGCTACTGCTTTTTTTACTCATCCAGGGCGTCCCAGTTAGTATCACCTAGTTTTCTTATGTTGATTTTAACTGGACGGTATATTGGCTCATTTTAACGAGGTAGCTGATATTCTGATTAAGATTTATACAAGTTATTCATAATGGAGAACGTTTTATTTTAATGAAATGGTCCTGAAGCATCCTTGAGAGTGTCATCAAGCTGTAGAGTTTCATTTGGATTCATCATGCTATTTACTTTAGACTAAGATTAATCTTGATCAGTAGCATTTGTTCCTCCTAGTCCTGGAATGATGCTAATCTTAGAAGCATTTTCAATTAGTTTGTCTAAGTGATCAACTTTGAATTCAACTTTATGTTGTTTGCTTTCTGTTTTGAGAGCTGATTTCAAAAAGTTCAAGTTCTTTGGGTGCAAATTGATAGTATTCTTTTTCATTGAGTCTTGTTCTTAGCTGATATCTTGATTGAAGTTTTTAAAAAGAGTGTTATTGCCCGTAGTCTCCATAGTTGTAGACACATTATTGGAGTGTGGTATAGGTGAAGGAGATATAATTCCTGTCTATTCCATTTTAATTGAATGTTATTTATTAAAGATATATAAATATGTTTTAGTTACTCTTTATTTAAAAATTTTATTATCGATTTGACAATTTTATCAAAGCTCTGGGGTTTTGGGGTTTTGGGGTTTTGGGG